ATAGAAATTGGAGTGTCTTTTAAACTTTATGACTGACATTCAGGGGAAAAAATGTTTGTGAAACAGGTAACCTGAATATTTTAAGCAACTTATTTGCTGTTCTGAACAATAATTTAGAATTTATGTTTATGAATCTAATCTAAATCTAACAAATATTTATTTAACAGTGGGAGCCTGACTTTCTATCTTTTCATCTTGGCTCTGCACCATGTCAGGTCAGTAGTTAATCTAAAAATTGTCTGTGAATATTCTATTTTACAATCCCAAAAGCTGTCTCAAACCCAGGAAATACGTATATAACCTTCTCCTCTATCAATCTAAATTATTAGACAGGAAAAATACTGTCCTAACAGATTTGCCTAAAGATAATGGTTGATCACAATTTGGTGTTTGACAAAAGATTGGTAGTAAATAGAATATTCACAGACAATTTTTAGATTAACTACTGACCGGACATGGTGGAGAGCCCACAAGAGAAGGTAGAAAGTCAGGCTCCAACTGTTAAATAAATATTTGTTAGATTTAGATTAGATTCATAAACATAAATTCTAAATTATTGTTCAGAACAGCAAATAAGTTGCTTAAAATATTCAGGTTACCTGTTTCACAAACATTTTTTTCCCCTGAATGTTAGTCATAAAGTTTAAAAGACACTCCAATTTCTATTTTACAAAAATGCAACAAATGTCTTTAATCATTTATTTCAAGGGTCTCCAAATTAGGCAAATTAAAGATTTTTGGACTTCAATGCCAGAATTCCTTAGCAGCCATGCTGCCTGGGGAACTCTGGAAGTTGAAGTACATAAGTCTTAAAGTTGCCAAGTTTAGAGACCTCTGATTTATTTGTATATGTATATAAATTACACTCTGCTAACAAAAGTGCGTATAGTCAAGGCTATGGTTTTCCCAGTTGCAATGTATGGCAACAAAAGTTGGACCATAAGAAACGCTGAGTGCCAAAAAATTGAGGCCTTTGAACTATGGTGCTGGAGAAGACTTCTGCGAGTCCCTTGGACTGCAAGGCAATCGAACCGGTCAGTCCTAGAGGAGATCGACCCTGACTGATCTTTAGAAGGCCAGATCCTGAAGAGGAAACTCAAATGCTTTGGCCACCTGATGAGAAGGAAAGAGTCACTGGAGAAGAGCCTAATGCTGGGAAAGATTGAGGGCAAAATAAGAAGGGGACGACAGAGAATGAGAAACAATATCTCCCAGCATAAAATATTTCACTTTTGCTCCAATGATATTGACTGTTCTAAGTGAATTTATATAGCGTGTATTTCAAGATTGAAAAATTTCCTTTTCTGGCTGATTATTAGAAAAAAACTTTCTAATGCTATGAACAGTTTGGCATTGGAACCAGTTATTAAGGAAGATGAACTTTGCTTCTCCAGGTATGTTTGAAAAAACGGGCTATATAAAGATTTGTCAGGGATTCTTTAATTTGAATTCCTGCAATAATGAAGGGTATAATTCAGCCCAAATAACTCCTTCCAAATGTATGATCCTTTATTTCTCTAGAACTAATACAAGAGACAAAAAGTATGCTGGGAAAGTTTAGAACACTGTGTTATTGTACCATCCTTCTGAATTGTATTACTTAGAATCTGTCCTTATGGAAGCATAGCAATACAGCTTTCCCCAACATCAGGGTCACTGGAAATTTTACACCATAAACAATATCCTGCATTAATTGCTGGAGAAGTTCATCTCCTATCTGTGCATCTATAGTAATTAATCAGTCATACATCACAAAAAGTATGTGTGGTCAATGCAAATCAATTTTGTTCCCACTCCTTTGCCACACAGCCAAAGGAAGACAGCCTGAGCATTCTGCTCTTATTCTGAATGGATCTGGTTTCAACTCCAATAAATCAAAACCGTTCATCCTATCTTGGTATCTTCTAAGGAAAAAATGTGAACGAATCTTTGGTTTTTCTTGTTTAAAAGGCTGTCCTCCACAAGTGTTGAAATTGTACTGCCGCAGGTTTGAGAACTTGAATATACATGGAAGGTGTCTTATCTTTACCAAAGAAGTAAAATTAAATCACATTAAAGGGGGGGGGGACACAATATACATACCCCACTTTGATTGACCATAAATTCTTCTGTTGAATATTCTATGTAGGGTAAAATATCAACATTGTGTGTAGCTACAGGCTCGAAATGATCTAAAGTATCATCACTTTGGTCTTCATCTGCCTCCTAATTAAGAAGTACCAAAAGAATACATGGGAAGGAATCAATATTGGTAAATATTCAAAGCTAAGAATAATAGCAGCTAATTATACATGTGCCTTGGAAATAATCTGAAAAGCTAAAAATAGTTCTCTTAGAATCAGCTCCTCTATCCCACTGCCCAAAACTCATCTCTGTTGAAGTTACAACTCTCAGGTTCCTTAACTTTGCTGGTCCCACACGAACTGGATGGCCAGTTTGAGATGATAGGCCTTCCCCTAATCTGAGCTCCATCCACATGTATGAAGTTCAAGACTTCAAATGTCTCGCTGGTTGAGAAATTCCGGTTCTATTGGAAGGAGTACAGGAAGTCATCAACCTATGACCAGAATTGAGCTCCAAACTTCTGTCATTAAGTGAGACATTTATTACGTGAATTTTGCCCCATTTTATGACCTTTCTTCCCTCAGTTAAGTGAATCACTGCAGTTGTTAAGTTAGTAACACAAAATCTGGTTTCCCAGATTTTGGCTTTGCTTGACAGAAGGTCTGAAAAGGGGATCACATGACCCCAGGACACTGCAACCACTGGGATGCTGCAATGGTCATAAGTGTGAAAAATGGTCATGTCATTTTTTTTCAGTGCAATTTTAACTTTGAACAGTCATAAATGAACTGTTATAAGTTGAGAACTACCTATATATAAAATTGTGCAAAGTATAAATGAAAATAACATTGGATTTTATTTTATTATTCCTCAACTGTTTATAAAAAGTTATAAGTTTTATACTGTTGTAGACTGTTTATTAACTGAATTATTCTTTCATTAAATATTGGGTATAAAGGGCTTACTTTTCTCAGCTATTTGTTCATATACTTTGTTTACTAAAGAGTAGTAAACAATAGCCATTATGGGTTTCTTCTTTGAATGAAAAGTGGTATAGTATACAACTAGACTGAAAGAAAATAATGATTTCTGAAATAATTCTCTCTCTCTGGTGGCAACTACCATATTTTTCAGAGTATAAGACGCACCAAGGTTTTGAAGAGACAAATTAAAAATAAAAAGTTTTTGCACTCTGCAAACCTCCCAAAAAGGGCCCGTTTTTTGCGAAAACGGATCCATTTTTTTGTCAAAAAAGGGGCATGGATAGCTTTTAGGAGGCTTATAGAGTGCTCCTGGGGGCTGCGGGAGAGGCAAAATTGAGCAAAAAAATGGCCTGTTTTTTGCTCATTTTGGCCCTTCCCAGACCCTAGGAGCTCTCTGAAAGCCTCCTAAAAGCTATGTACGGCCATTTTGGTGAAGAGGCAAGGTTTCAGGAGGCAAAAAATGCTTTATTCAGTGTATAAGACACACCCAGATTTTCAGCCTCTTTTTTGAGGGATGAAGGTGCACCTTATACTCTGAAAAATACAGTAATCAGCAGTCTGTTTAGAAACATGGCTACTCTCTTGCTTTGCATGCAAACAGTTAGATAAATGTTTTCCTGCTAAAACAGTTGAATACAACTTCTCATTTGTTGATCAGATTGCTCAGAAAAAATTTACCATCACATTGTAGTTCAGACCTGAATATTTCCTAGCATTGATTGTGGCCTACTGGAACTTTACTTAACACCACTAAACTCAGGTTTTATAATTTATTGTTATTACTGTATTCTATTATATATTCTACTCTATTACATTTTTTTCTGGGTCATATATTTTCAAGCCCACAAAAGAAGAACGCATACTTTTCTTCTTCTTAGCATTCATCGTGGATACATACTATTCTCTCTCATCCTTTAATCTTTCTATTTCACTTCACTTCCCCATTCATAATCTGAGGTATCATTTTCTTCAGTATGTGTCTCTGATGGCTAGCATCCTGCTACTTCCTCAAAGCTTTGATTGTTTTCCGGCAGTACTGGTTAGTATAGCTGCCATCCATGAACCACTATTCTGGATTTTTATTGGTTCTTGGTGAAGCATCAAGTGCAACAAAGCAAGGATTAATCGTGAATCACTTGTACTTTCATGAATCTACCCATTCTAGAACACAGTCTACACCTAAGCTCTAATTTTCATTTCAGATAATTTAGACTGCATGTTCTGATGCCTTCCAGATTTCATAATTCAGCCCTACCTTGGGGGGGGGGAATGGGGGAAAGGTGGTTTGAAGATGACCATACATACCCTTTTTTCAATTGCCACAAAGCTTGTATACTGGGTCACAATGGAATGCTTCAGGCTGAGCTCAATGATGTTGGACTTCATCTCTTCTCTTTTCATCTAAATAGAAAGTTCCAGGCAAATGTTAAAGAGTCTGCAGGGACAAGCAATCTGATATCTATCAGATGTTTTGGAATACAAATCTCATGAGCTCCAGCCACCATAGCCAATGGGCTACATTTATAGGCATTCAGGAATTATTCTCCAAAATATCTCTTTTCCTCTTGCCAAACATGTTTCCAAAGAGAAGAAATTAGCCACTATATAGAAGATCTGCCCCCTCAGACTGACTAGGAAAGACAAGAGTGACTGGCAAGGCACAAGAATGCCCCTCTGCAGTCAGGAAGAGGAGGTGCTCTGAAGTGGAATGAGGTAGGAATTCCTGCCAATTATTTCCACTGTACAATCCTACAGAAAACTCTGCAAATGTCTTCCCAGTATTTTCTCAACCAGGCATTAATCAGCTTAACTAGCAAATACTTCCATAAATCTCATAACGTGTTAGGGACATAGCAGTACAGAGCCACTGTCAGATCGTCACAGCCATTGTGTGGGGAAGAAGCAGAGGTAGTATTCAGCCGGTTCAGATGAACCGGTAGCGGCGGCTGCGGAAGGCTCCACCCACGCGCCCCAATGTAATACGCAAGCACTGCGAATGCGCGTGCTCATATTTGCAAAACGGTAGAGAAGGTAAGTGAATCCCACCGCTGGGAAGAAGCCTCAGCACTATATATCTTGTTCCAAACTTATTCTATTTATTTATTTAGCAAATTTAGACAGTCACCATCCCCCCCCCCCAAAAACCAACCCCAACCTCTGGATGGCTCACAAATATAACAACAATTAAAAGTATGTGGTGATGCAAAAAAATCCATAAATAAAAATAAAAACATGAAAAACCCCAGGTTTATAGGAGAACACTTAATTTAATTCCATAAGAGAATCATAGCAATTTTATAGGTGGCAGTCATAATTAAAATGGATAATAAATACAATGTTACACAGTTTTTATTTTCTTGGGAGCGCACCTCATGTTGTATTTCATTTTTATCGAACATTCCTTGTTCGTATTCTCTAATAAAGGCTCTTGCTGCAAGTTTGTGGAGTATCTGCACCAGGTACAAAAGAAGACATCGCGATCAGTAATATTAAAGCAATAATTAAATAATTTGGCCTTGTCAAATGTATATTGACTGGTTTGCCTCCAAGTGTAAATAGTGTATTGGTAAAAAATTATTGTCCTTGTGTCATCAGAGATGAGGCTGCACTTGTGCTGACAAATGTTTTAAAGCATCTTTTTGCTCTGTGTCAAAGCATCATCTGGACTGGCAACATCATTGACGCAATTGGTTCTGTCATTGCTTTTCTCATTTCTTGGCCATTTACGACTTCCAAAGCTCCCAGTTCAGAGTCAAAGGTTGCAGCAGGACAAAAATAGACATCATGGCCTTCATAGATCCCATATAACTGATTGTCCAATTGCATGTAACCATGGTAAATGTCATGTCTCAATAGCATGACCTTCATTTCATCCTCAGTCCATGTGCTAAATTGTCCTTGGCTGAAGGACCCATACACTCTCAGAGGAACACAGATTTGGTGTACCTTCCTTTCTGTAGAGAGTAAGGAAGATGATCTTGATGCAGATATGCAGATGCTGTGGCCTAGGCAACAGCTCCAGCATATCAACGTCAAGGTAATCTTTCTGATTCGCCAAACTTCCCAAATCTGCTGAAGAGCTCTTTGGTATGCTTGCAATATTAGAATGTAGACTCGCCCCCTCAAGATACGGCTCCTGGAAGAACCTGGGATCATAACAGTCAGGTTTAATACTTTTATAAAATCTTATGGTTTTTTTATATATTTACCATATTTTTCGGAGTATAAGACTCATCTTCTCCCTCCCGCCAAAAAAGAGGGTGAAAATCTGGGTGTGTCTTATACACTGAATACAACATTTTTGGCCTCCTGAAACCCCACCCACTTCGCAAAAGTGGAGGCCTGCAAAGTGCTCCTGGGGGCTGGGGAGAGAAAAAATGAGCAAAAAATGGTTTTTGCCCCCCTCCCCAGCCCCCAGGAGCACGCAAGAAGCCTCCCAAAGCCTATGCATGCCCTTTTTGTGAAAAATGGGCTGGTTTTTGCACCCCCCCCCAGCCCCAGGAGCCCTTTGCAGGCCTCTCAAACTCTCTGTCCCTTTTTTCACAAAAAACGAGACTTGCAGAGGATTTGGGAGTCCTGCAGAGTGCAAAAACTTTTTTAAAAAATGTACCTCTTCAAAATCTTGGTGCGTCTTATACTCTGATGCATTTTATAGTCCAAAAAATATGGTACTTAATATATTAATCTCTTTATATAGTTTTTAAAATGTTTCTAAAAATATTTTATCACAGTCTATTTTACATATTTTTAGCTTTTAAAATTTATTTTACCTTTTCTATGTTGATCAATCACCATAATAAAGATTTGATTTAGCTTGGAACGAGAGTTCCTTTCAGAATAAAAGGATTACTGAGGAAAAAGTCCCCACTTCCAAGTAATTATGCTGGATGCAAACAATCTAGCTGTTGGAGTAAAAACCACTTCAGGTAAGTGCTGGAGCCATATCTGATCTCAGAAAACTTCTTTATTTATATTTCCAGACGATTAAATCTGTGTATAGCAGACAGCTTCAACTGATGTATTCCTCTTAACCCAACCTGTTCCTATGGGTCTTCTGCTCTAGGTTCATCCCACATCTGCTTTCCTCCTAACAGTTAGAACAATTAATCCATGGAATGACTTGCCTCCAGAATTTGCGGGTGCTCCAACACTGGAGGTTTTTAAAAAGAAATTTGTCAACCATTTATCTGAAATGATATAGGGCTGTGATTGCAAACCTATGGCACGCGTGCCAGAGGTGGCATGCCACACCCTCTCTATGGGCACGTGCACAGTTGCCAGCTGCTCTTCTGGTGCATATATCCACCAACCCGGGAAAATGGTCAAAAGCAGTCCCAAAACGGACCATTTTCTGGGCTGTTTTTGAGCTGTTTTCTGGGCCACTTTTGGGGGCATTTTCAGGCCGTTTTTCATTTTTCCGGCCCAAAAAAACCGGCTTGAAAAACAGCCTGAAAACACGCCCAAAACAACCGAAACCAGCCAAAATCAGACATGCGAGTGCCAGCCAGCTGGTTTTTGAGTTTCCAGTGCTCCGGCTTGCACATGCACACACATTCCGATTTGGGCACTCAGTGCCAAAAAGGTTTGCCATCACTGATATAGGGTTTCCTGCCTGAGCAGGGGGTTGGACTAGAAGATCTCCAAGGTCTCTTCCAATTCTGTTATTCTCATGTGTGCTGCCTAGGTCCAGTGGACCTTACCCTTTTGAATGTCTTTTATGACCGCATTGTAACTAGAAAAATATTCATCAACAGAAGGGACCCAAGTGCTCCATTTTAAAATAATAAATCAAGAGCTTGAGGCAAGTCTATGGTTTGAGCAATCAATGCCTAACTCACAGTTCCTGTGGTCTTCTGCAGTTCAGATGTAGACACCAGTGTATACAATTCCTGATTATCTACTTGTGCCTTTAAAATGGCCTGAAATAGAAAAAAAAAGCAGAATATTCATTTGAATTTATTATTTTTTAAAATTAAGAATGGAGGCATGCGCATCATGGTAACAGCATGTTTATCTATTACTTTACGGAAAAGCAACTGCTTCTATTTACAATATAAGCTCCATGCAACATTTATTAAAATTATTTTTAGGTATTTCTTCCTGTTTACAGAGAGTGTGATGCTAATACACGTCTGCTGGTAGAATGGAACATTTGTTGCGATTTAATTATGAGAATACACCACACAATTTTTAAAAAGTTTTAACTCTAGGACAGCGATGGCGAACCTTTTTTGGCTCGCGTGCCATAAGTGGGGGAGTGCAAGGGGGGTTGTGTACGGCTGTGCTGCACGCATAATGCAATGTGTGACATCCCCAGTGCGCATACACGCACTACAGGTGCAGCCCCTCCCCATTTTTTACATGTTTTTTTGCCCTCCCCAGGCTCCAGAGGCTTTATAGGGAGGGCGAAAACAGCCTCTCCCGCTCCCACGGAAGTCCTTCCAGTTTGCTCAGAAGGTCGTTTTGAGCACTCCAAAGGCTTCAGGGACCTTCAGGAGGCTTCCCTGAAGCCTCCAGAGCAGTCAAAATGACCCTCCGAGCAAATCAGAAGTCTGTTCCTTAACTTCTGGTTTGCCCGTAGGGCCAGTTTTTTGCGCTCCAGAGGCTTCAGGGAAGCTCATGAAGCCTCCGGAGGGCCTCCGGGGGGGTGGGGGAGGCGCTTTTCACCTTCCCCAGGCTCCTATAAAGCCTCTGGAGCCTGGAGAGGGCGAAAAATGGCTTTTAAAAAAGGTGAACTCAGCTGGCCAGTGCATGCATGCACGCTGGCCAGCTGACAGGGCAGCGCCTTGCATGCCCTGAGAAATGGCTCCGCGTGCCACCTGTGGCACGCATGCCATAGGTTCGCCATCACTGCTCTAGGACAATAATAATGGCTGTTTCATTTACCAAGGTTTGAGATTGTTGGGCAAGGTAAAATATAAAACAATGGTTATGGA